ATATAAAGAAAATGATCAAATTTGACCGTTTGAATAGTTCTAGAAAAAAAGTTTTAGGACGAAGGAAGTTTGAGAATGTATTATTTCAAAACCATGTTTCAAAATAAAATTATTTATATTAAATTTATATTAAAGTTCAATGTATTTTTTTCTAATTTGTAGTCGAGTTTTAAAAAGTGACCTTAAAAGTCTAACTGAGAATATTCAAAAGGGACGGAGGGAGTAACCTAATACATTTTTCAGTAGATTAAAATAAACTTTTTAATTTTTTTATACTTAAATATAACGTTATTGGAATTGTTAGATTAATAATTAAATTTTTTGGTGTTAATTTTCAAATTTTGCATTTATATACTTAATATCGAGTTACAAGGTACTCCGTAAGATATAATGTGATTGGTTGATAGATTAATTGTGAATGAATATAATGTGATAGACAGGTTATTAAAATAGTACGGGTAAATGAGATTCTAATTTTAAGTAGAACTATTTTTTGGAATGGGTAAAAAGTAAAAGTGAAAAATTTTTTTTGGATGGAGAAGTATATGGTGAATTGTCTATTTTTAACGGGGTAGATTAATTTTGAAAAAACGTTAACGCTAAAGGCTATCATCGGGTAGCCTTTTCAAAACACTAATGTCAATTTCTAACACTGATGCCAAATGCGGATGTGGAAATTTGTATTGCAGGCTGCTTAGTAATAATTCCTTGTCTGGTGAAATTCCTCCATGTTTGATGGAAATTGGAAAAGGATTGTAAGTATAAACTAGTGAATAATTTATATTTTTTCAATTCATTGTGTCAAAATTAAAATATCTTTAGCTACTTGATCTACTTTTGTCCCAATTTAAAATTCTTTACGATCCGGAACGTGGTTTTAATTAATCAAATCTTAATTACCACAATATTATTTTTACTTTCTAGTCACGTTGTTATTATTTTTTTTAATAAAAGCATACATTGTTGTTATAATGTTATTTATAGAGTAATTAATTTCTCATCATGTTTTTTTTGTCTTGTTTTGACCGTAATTTCTCTCAATGCATAGCGCCCACAATCATAATATACAGTACATACGATGGCAACCGGGACCTACAACGTCCTCCTTCACAAAGTTCCGGTTCAAGTTCTACTCCTCCCTAAAGGTTAATTTAATTTCCTATTAATAGCGTGCTTAGGGAATAATTTTATGATATTTGGTGAATCATAAAAAAATTGAATTCTATTTTCTCTATATATGACTATGACACACCCTCTAAATGAAAGGTTTTTGAATTTTGATATCTTCTGAGTTTGTAAGATATGAATATAAGAATTAGATATCTCTTCAATCGTCGATTACTTCCCAGCAGCGGCTACGAGCCTACGACTATCATTGCCAACTACCCTCGTTGCTGGTTACACCTGTCTGTCATTATTCTAATCTTGATTTCAAATCTATCTAATAAACAATTTTATTAGTATCAAATTTCAATATCCATATACTCCCTCCGTCCACCTAAGATCTTCCCATTGCGCGTTACGAGGCTTGACCAACTTTATTTTCAATTCAATTTATTTGAATATAGGGGTAAAATTTTAATATAAAATTTATGTAGTAATAAACTACATGAAAAGTTCTAAAAAACTAGAGGTGATAACACTATATTATTTTATGAAATGAGTAGTAAAAATAAATAAACAAAGTGAATTAAGTTTGACCCTGTGAATAGTGTCTGGGAAGATCTATGGTGGACATAGGGAGTATATAGTTTCTTCTAAATATGATACCTCCAAAACTCACCAAACATGCCTTAAATGTTTTATAGCTTTCTAACTAGAGTTGTGCTATTGTGGTCATAAAGTTCACGTGTAAAATGTGGTGGACCTTCTAATTGAATTTCTTTCCTTTTACAAGGTCCACTACATATAATAATTTTATGTATCAAGGTGACAAGGTCCATAAAACAAATATAGACCTAAGGACAAAATAATGAAAGAATTTACCTTCTAATTAATTTTTCCATTTGAATTGATACATTATATTTCCATTTTCACCGGACTATTATTTACTTAAAACCTCGGTGTAATTAATTGGTTGAGCCCCGAACATTACTCCCTCAATCCCTGAGTAATTTTTTTCATTTTGAAATACAAGGTTTTATTGAATTTCTTGTTTTGTTTAATTTGTTTAAATATTGGGTAAAAATTTAAAAATAAATTTATGCCAGAATACATTTAAAATTTAGATTGATTGAAGTTCTACATATCAACAAAAGTTAAAATATTTTTTTTAAATGACTAATATATGAAAATATGAGAAGAAATGATATAGACTTTTACTATATGTGGATTGTGAAGAGGTTGATTAAAAATAAAGTAAAGGGGCCTGGGATAGAGTGTGTGTGTGTATATATGTGTATAGGTGACAATGAAATTAAAACTCGATTGTGAATAATAAAAATTAATTCCACCAAAAATTTACACTGACTACTGTTTTTTTTGTCAATGTAGCATCAGATGGATGCTTGTGATCGCAACCATTACAATATAAAGTCTTTATAAATAAAGAGCCAAAGATCAATTGGTGATGACGTCATGTGTTGTGCGCCATATCATGAGGTCGATGGCTTCTCATCATCAATCGTTTGGCCACGTACTCTATCTATGTGTCCACTTAGTTGTGTTTTTTTTCGCCACTATTATGTCTCCACGTGTAATACGTTAAATACCTTTTGTATCTGAGTTTATCTTTGGATGTTTAAACTTTAAAATTCACTTTTCTCTTCATACTTACAAGAGGGCACTTACGGCTCCATTCGTAAAATTAATTGTTTCTACCTCCCCAACTCTTTTGGTAAATCCCCATAAGGCCATAACTCATCTCATCCCTAACGCGTCCTTGCTGCCCCTCCAATTGTACCACTTATCATTTTGTTGACTTTGTGGTCAATTTTTTTACCAAAAACGAAAGGTGGTGCAATTCAAGAGGGTGTAGAGTGTGTTAAACATAAGACGGGCTCGGGGGAGGGGGTTTGATATGAATATCATATCAGATAGCTAGGGAAGATCTTTGAGAATTCTTCAAGCTTCAAGATGAATAGAGAAGAGAAAGATGGAAAACTCTGAACGTTTTCGAGCTTCCAAGAAAAGAGAAGAGATATTAAAGTTTATGATATTCTTATTGTTTGATTCATAATGATAAAAGAGTTACAATATATAGAGATGGGGGAACATCATAACTGACCTAATGGGCTCAAGCCCATGCTAAAACTCTAAACCCTATTAACTAAAGAATACTTCTCCCGTCTCACAAAACATTTATAGTTTTGACTTTTAAAGGATTTAAGTGGAGTGTATTTTGGTGTTCACTGTTAAAAAATATCATTGGATATGATGGATAGATTAATAGTAAAAAAATGTAATGTGATATGTAGGTTAAAAATTAGTAGGGGTAACAGTAATTTTTTCATAGAAATGGGAAAGATTGTTTTGGAACGGATGCAAAAAGAAAGAAGAAAAGTTTTGTGGGATGGATGGAGTATTAAATAATAAATAATATTTAACTATTAGTTAATTAAATATACTAATTACCATACATATCATTCTCACCCCTTAAAAGCCACATTGTTACGATGGAAAGGCTTAGCAGTAGAAATGTAGCGTTGGAAATTCGAGATAAGTTGGCAGATGTGTCTAACATACAACCCACAAAGAACCATGTATTCAAACAGTTTGATGGTAAAATCTTAATTCTCTATCTTGTCTTCACTTCCCAAAACTTCATATTCTGGCTTGTGGGATGACTCATCACTCTGAATGGGCTTAGGCCCTCACATTCAACTGCATCCTCTACAAAAGGAGGTAGCAAGGTATACGTCTGCTTCTTTCATCGATCTAGACAATCGTGTCTCCAGCCGTAGGGTACCGCCAAAAAAGGCCCTGGTTTCCTCCCAATCGGGTTTCCACATTAAGATCTATGTTTCTATATTTTGGTGTATTTTGTTAAACTTGTTTATAATTCTTACCCGGCTAAGAACGATATTGCACTCGAGATAATTTACACCATCATTTTCGCACCGAGCGTGGGGCAAGAAGAACAAAGAGCCATGTTGTTCGTCTTTGCCTTACAAAAAAACTCTGGTAGAAGGGAGGCGGGTTGGATGAAGCCTCCTAGATTTGTTTATTGCCAGTGAAATCCAGCATTGTCGTCGCCTTGCCCAACGGAAAGGCCTCCATGCTGGAAATTTACCATCGACACTATTTCTGAGGTCCGCCGCCACATTAGAGGGAGCAAGATGGTGCAGCCAGCCTGTTGCCAATTGATTCTCTTCAGCCCACATGAGTATCTTCCGTAACTCAAAGTTTGGAGTCTGCCACCCCTGGGGCTTCCTTAGCAGGTGTCACAGGAATTTGTTTTCTTTGCCATGGTGGTGGTTTAGGGATGGACTTGCCTTTGATCATTAACGTTCGTGGCACTGCCGGATGGAGGCGCCATGAATTCACTGCAGGTATTGTACGCCGGGTCGGAATGGAATGGGCCTCGTGGTGAAGGAGACTGTTACGTTTCAAATTCCAATTGGAGGGAAAAAAAAAGGGAAGAGAAAGTAAGATGAAGTTTTTAATTTTACCAATTGGCCACATGATTTTCATGTTATTTACAATTCAGCCCTTCTTTGTACTTTGACCTTAAAATTAGATAAAGACTCCAAATCAATCCAAATTTACTATACTATAATGATTTGGTGATAGTTATATGTTGAACTGAAATTGTGAAATAGGCCACCAATGAGATCAGAAATTAAAGTCAGTGACCCCTGGTGAGAGAGCCAGTGGAGGCCTCAACCCCCTCCATTGTGAAAACTTTGGAGTTTGAGCCGGGGTCCTGGTAAGAGCTTAAATTCTACGACTCCCATGAGATTGATGTGAAATTTAACCTAGTAGGTTAAGTGTGAGAAGAATATGCAAGATCTGATCTGGGTAAAAGAAAAACTCTTCATATAATATTTTGGTACAGAGAAAAACCCTCTAAATCCCCTAGTACAATTGGTAAAACTCCACCACTAGGACCCTTCAGAGTAACCCCTAAAAATATTGTATGACAGACATTGTTGTACAACCCCCCCAGCCTATACAAAGGCTTTATAAAGTCAAGCAACAATGTGCATGAGTGATATTCCTTGTAAGTTGTAAGCCTCATAGATCAAATGTACCTCTCTATTCGGAGTTCTTCCCCTTGGCAAGACTCAACAACACGCCGCTGCTGAGACACGTAGCTACAACAGCAAGGGATGCCTCCGTAGTGATGTGCAATCCTGCATGCATAATATGTACTTCCGAAGTCAGATATTAGCAGGGAAAGAAGATCAGAAGGAAGAGAATGAGAGGAAATTTTAAGTGAAGAAAATGTGAAGGAATATAAAATATTGCTTCAAACGTAATGCATAAATTTCAGACATTTGTTAACATTTTCTACTCCCTCCGGTCCTAAAAACGTTTTCACATTTATATAAGTAAAAAAACACAATAGTTTTTTTTACTCAGAATTGATTTTCATTAATACTTTCCCATTTAAAACCAAAACATATTTTTTTTAAAAAAACATTTTATTTCCAATTTCTTCCCTTTCCCCACCATTTTTCAGGTTATAAGCATAGCCATATAATTCATTTTCTAGAGAAGTGAGTGCTGCATTGCTTTAGGAAGTACTCACCAAAGAAATCCAGTATCATCTTACACCCAATGAAGCCCAAAACAGCACCAATTGCAGGCTGTTCACACCAGAGACTAGATTCCATCAGAAATATATAGCAAAAGATTGTCGTGACTTCAACTTCATGCAAGGGATATATGATACTACCTCCGGCCCAGTGTATTTGTCGAGTTTGACTTTTAAGTCAAACTGGTCAGACTGTGAGCTTCAATTACTCTTAATTTGTATTGCTTATTAGTTCAATCAAATAAAATTTTAAAAGTTTTCATCAAGATAAATTTAATAAAATCTTTTTATACTAATATACATTATAATTTTTGTTTAATTAGAGTTCAAAGTTCATCCAGCTAGAAACGGAAAAGTCAAACTTGACATATACATTGGGACGGAGGGAGTATATCAATAACTTGGTAAGTAATGATGCAACTGTAATCATTATTATGAATTTTATCAATGAAGACCCGAAAGATTTAATCAATGCAACTTTCAATGCTCATCCTGGGTCATCTCGAATCGGTCGCTCTATGTTTTAAACATAGAAGTCAAGCTGCATACATCCGACCCCCCTTACCCCCGAAATGGTGGGAGCCTTTGAGGTAGTGCAGTAATGTTGTTGTATTGATTCATGACATGAATGAAAAAGAAGTCAATCTGAGACAGTAAAGGTTAGAATCTACTCCATCCCAAAATGATTCACTACTCACAAGGTCAAACTATTTCTTTATTCCTTACATATTTTGTAGAACTTATGTAGTTTAAGTATATAAATTTTATACTCCCTCCGTCCCACAAAACATTACCCATTTTGATGTATTTTTGGTCAGACAGTTACATGCTTTGACCATAAATTAAATATAATCTAAATAAAGAAATGTTATAAAAATTTGATATATCAAAACTAGATCCTAAGATGAATCCAATTATATTAAATTTATATTATAATTCAATATACTTTTCTCACAATTTGTAGTCAAAGCGTGTAACTATTTGACCAAATACTATTCAAAATGGGTAATATTTTGTGGGGCGGAGGGAGTATATTGTTAGAGATTCTTGAACCGTGTTTACTTTTTGAGTCTTGAATTGATATACTCTAGCCTTGCTTGTACGGGATTGATAGTGTTTTTTTTCGGGTATTCATAGTTGACCACTCTTTCTACCCTTGGACAGATAACATTCCCAATCATTAGCATTACGTCTTTTTTGTGTGATGTATACTCAAGTAGCTTCCTATGCTTCCTAATTATTATAAGTACTACTACTTGCTTTTGTATGATGCAACAAGCATCCAACACAAACAGCATCAACTATAGTTAGGATTGTTATTGTTGTATGCTAAACTAACTCCCTCCATACTTCCTTAATTACACTTGAAAAGAGAATGAAACATCACCTGTAAATACTCTAATTCTGCCATGCTTCCAGAAATGAGTGTGTATAATGACCTTAAACCTGCATATGTAAGAATTGCCCTTAAAAGTGTAACACAAGTTGTGTGCATTAGATCAAATTTGTTACGCTCTCACTGAAGGTGGGAGTGGAGGGTTCACCATCAAACAGAATACACTACAAGATATCAACACCTTGAATGAGGAAAGGTCCTAAAAATCATCATTCGGACTAGCATGTTGCAAAATGTCATAAAAACATCATTGCAGACTAGAGAAAAACAGAGCAAGATCCATGATTTATATCGACTTTGATTTGGAAAAAGCACTCAGTTGCAATTGGATTCAAGAATCGTAACAACTTTAGGAGACTTAGAATGAAAAGAGAAATGTAGAACACCAGTACCTAAAATGGCAAAGATATTAGAAGTGAACACTACGAAAGGGTCTCTGGTAACACCAAAAACAGCTGGTATAGAATCCACCTGAAAAGCATCATCGAAATCATGATTAGTTTTAAAAAATAAAGGAAACTAAAAATTTCATTTTGCTCGAAAAAGAAATGACACATACAGCAAATGCAATATCACTGAGTTCAATTACGGCAACCGTGAGAAGTAAAGGTGTAGCCTGCCCAAAATGTGTGACACCTGTTAGAAATCAAGGAACAATGAATTTAAATCAAAATAACACATGAACACATCTTCTAATTTCTTTAGTTAATTGTGTAGAGCTGGAAATAGACAAAGCTTGTTTATCCAATGTGTAGAAGGTGGTATATAGCTTTTGATCAAAGCATAAATGTAATATTAACGTAGGCGATTGTTTTTCATGTATTACACCTCAAAAGTGTAAATGAATCAACCAGTAAAACAAATGCTAAGAGCAAAAGAAGACATACTTTCCGAATTCCATCCTGAATTGTTATGAATCGATTGCCATCATACTCAGCTGCAACTCCAACGAAAAAGTTAGATTACATTCAAACATTTCAATATGGTGCATCTATAAAAATTGCAATTTTAAAAAATCAAGCAAGATTTCTAGGTGGAGAGTCAGATGTATGTGGCAAAAGAGAATTTCAACACCACCTTTATCCAAAAAAGGAAAAACATTACAGAGGTCGTTTTTCTCAAAATTCAAGTTAATACATAAATGAAAAACCTGATAAATTTATCTATTTAACCTTCTTCCAAAAAAGTGCACCTATGAAATGTGGATTGTGGAATACTCTATTTTGGCCAAAATTCCCGCACATGGGTATATTGATGTATAAACATAGTAACATACTCAAAATTGACTAAAAAGTGGGTTTTGAGGCCTTTTTTCTACTATTTTCTATCCCATTTTTCTTACTCCATAAATTTCTTTCAAAACCCTACCCTTCTGTAACTCCCTTAAGTATTACTTTCTTCTGCACACCCTCACCCACCTTTCAAGTTTCAGCAGAACTCAGCTCCACAAAATGTGCACCTTCTCTCCCATTTATAGTGGCGGCAGTGGCCAAACAGGCAGTTTTCTTTTTGTTTTTGGTTCTATGCTTGTTTGTAGAGCAATTTAGGCGTCTTATCTCTTATATAGAGGTTGGAATATCTTCTAATTTACCATGTAAAACTTTAGCTTTTATTTTATGAAATTTATACACACACTCACATTCACACACATATTATTTGTTGACATAAAGGTTGTATTCCATAATTCCCACTTAGTTGTTCACGCCTTCTACCCATTTTAAAAAAAATAGCAAGGTAAAAATGTGAACACATGCAAGGAGTACTATAGACACAGACCTAAATAAACTATACATTTAGAACTCATATGGCAATAAAACATGCACTGTCCTACATTAGAAGTAAATCAGTATGAAAAAATCCCCTTTAAAGTTGAGATCCCCAGCTGGACAAGCAAACTGTATATAGACCTCTAAAATGTCAATTTCTTTTTTAGCTGGAAAAATCACAAAAAAAAAACTGTGCATGTGCAAGGATTAAAAGAGAGAACACTACAGGTTACGGGAATGAATCTCTGGCAAGTCTTTACTATGAAGTTTTCAGAAAGATCAGTATCAACATCTTCTTCAGCAAACAGCTGTGATGAAATTACACAAATGAGCACAAACATTGCAAACCAGATTGCATGAGAATCTTAATCCAACAACATACAAGAATCAAGATACAAGGCATAGATAGCTAAAACAGAAGTCAAATATTGGTGTTTAAATGCAAAGATAAGTAACATATACACCAAAGGCATCAAGCATCTGAAAAACATTATTTTCCATCAAGAAATCAAGATACTTACGCTAGAAGAGCTGGAAAAGTGCATTAATTGACCATGTTATGGTTGATAATGTTTCATGTATCTAAATGGGTACCACACATTTATTTGTGCTTCAACACCATCATTTTAGCATAGTTTAAGTTATGAGACAGCCGAATCGCCACATACACTACTTCAAACTGCTTTAGAATCTCATTTTTCTAGTGTTGAGCCTGTTAGGTTTGCTAATTTACCTGAAAACACAATTTTATCATATATGACCTTGTTTAATATCTAATAAGACTGATAAAAACAATATGATCATGATTACAGCAAGATCATATGCATCCTCAATTCAGATCTAGTGCCATGTAGGATCTGTTGGACCAATCTTGACATTCAGTAATAGTTAGGGGGTTTATTTTGTAATTATGTTGAAGTCTTTATTTGTCAATAATTAGGGTAGAGTCAGTCATAATTTTAGGAGATATATCTCAGATGGATTTGAGATTATCATAGCTTGTAGGAGTAGGAGATGTTATGCTTGGAGAGCAAGGCTGATGATTTAACTTGGTGTACAAGGTTAACTCATCTATAAATAGGGATAGTTTCTCTGTATTTTATGTATTCAAAGTTTTTCAATTAATTGGAGAAGGATTTCCAATAAGTTCTTGTTCTAGATTTCTGTTTTTTGTTTATCGAGATCTGGTACCAATAACTTCAATTGGTATCAGAGCTGAGTTCGAAGGGCCTGAAACTCTCCTGATCCAAAAGGGCTGGATCAATTACCAGATCCAAAGACAGGGCAGAAGTACAAGCGTCGATCTAAGAACAATACAATGACTGATGCCAACAACCAGGTTGCGGTAATCAAGGATAACAACAAGCTTCCATTCCAGTGTCCGATCCAAACCGCGACTAATTATCCCATCTGGTCGCTTAGGATCAAAGCAATTTTCAAGGCGTACGAAATCTGGGAATCGATTGATCCTGGAACAGATGTCGATCGGAAAAAGGATAATTCCGCTATCGCATATTTGTACCAGGCGTTGCCAGAGGATTTGATTCTTCAAATCGCTGATTGCACCCACGCAAAGGAAATCTGGGATGCAATTAAGACTCGTCATCTTGGAGTTGAACGAGTAATGGAGGCTAGACTTCAGACTCTTAAAGCTGAGTTTGAAGCAGCAAGGATGAAAGACAGCGAAAAAATTGATGATTTTGCTGCAAAACTTTCTGGAATTGCCTCAAAATCAGCAACACTTGGAACCGTCATCGAGGAAACCACGTTGGTCAGAAAAATATTGACTGCCATACCAGAAAAATTCTTAAATATGGCAGCCACTATTGAACAACTGGTTGATCTCAAAACAGTGAAATTCCAGGAGGTTGTGGGTAGGCTGAAGGCATATGAAGAACGAACCGGTGCAAAGAC